CGTGTTGCGCGGTGCGTAGTGACTGCTGAAGTACTTTGTTGACGATGTACATGATGTCGTCCACGGCTGAGGTAATGTGTGGTGGGTTGGCACGTAAGGGTTGGTGTCGGTTCAGCGTTAGTTCTGGAGGTCCTTCATCCAACTGGAAAGCCTTCTCCACCGACCGCCGGAGGAAAAACGTGGTCATTGAGTTGAAAGGATGGATTAACCGATCGCTAACCTTCTGACACAGCGCTGATTGAATAATGAAGTCCGGTAGTTCTAATTCCTCATGATTGTCGTTCTGTGGTCTTGTTAGTCCATAGCCATCCGTCTCCAGCTTGTACGTAATAGTAGAACCTGTCAATGTAGCATGTAAGAAGTATTAGAAAATACCCAATAACTTACACTGCATTTATCTGCTAAGAAGCGGGAATATAATGACCACCTCCCCAACATAACAGCCATCTCATTCAAAAGTCCATCGATCTCTTTCATATCTACTCCCTCATCCTCGCTTGATCGTTGTGAAGCGGCATCGCGAGTAGCGGGTGAGTTTGCTCGAGGTGTTCCCATGCCTCTCGCAGCAGGTAGAAAGCTTTGTACAAGAAATGTGAAAGCATAAGACTTGATGTCCGTCAACTTGCGATCAACATGGCGGTCATCGCTCCAAGACTCCAAAATGATGCCCCCCTGAACATCCGCCTCGACCTGCAGCCTCTCCACGACCCTCATCATCTTGCCCGGACCATAGTGTCTCTCCACTAATGCCCCATGCCCGTCAACAATCTGCGCAATGTGTTCAAACAGCTTGGTCAACGCATTTGCATAAAAGAATCCATCTTTCCTTTGCTCCGCGCCTGCCCCAGCATGTAAATTAGCCCTTGCCCGTGCCGCGACGCCCTGACACACATAGCGTCCGTACACATCCAGCCCGACGGCTGACCTTCCAATGAGCGGAAACAGCTTAAAAAACCGCGTGATCTTCGCATCATTGTTGTCCTTGACAGCCCGTTCAAATTCTCGCAGGAACAACCCGCAGAGCGATTCAGCCGCATTCTCTAGCGTCACACTTGGCGGGTCCGGAACTTCAGCAGTAGGCACGATCTCCGCAGCAAAATCACCATGTATGACCTCTTCGGGGATCTTCGATGCACGATTCATGTAACTCGCCGCCATTTCCCAATCCTGTGATGCGCCCATTGAGCCAGCTACGCCTAGCACGCACGCTTTCAACTCCACAACTTGTTCCACTACGTCCAGTGTAGCCTTGACACGCGACTGTTGGAGATCGAGGCGCTTGACGGCGCTGGAGATGCGGTCCGCTGTGCTAGCAGCGTCCGCAAGCATACCATGGCTGATTGTACGGGCAGTGGTTGCTTGTGAGCCTAGGTGGGCGCGGAGCAGATCTAGTCGGCCTAGTTCGCGGGAGAAATCTTTCTGGGAAGCTATGAGTGCATCAAGGCGGGCAGTTACGGCGGCTTCGCGATCGTGAAGATGGGACAAGGTGGCTTTGATATCCGCGATAGTGCGGGCATTATAGATGTCAGTAGGGTTCTCAGGGTCGGGGTTATGAGTGGAATTCTCCTGGCCATTGGCTTGCTGCTTTTCGCGGGGATCACTCGTTTGAAGTTCGGTGTTGTTCGTGTGCCTGTTATCTTGCACCCTGTCCTTAACTGTTGGAGGTTCTGTCGTTTGGCCAGAGTGGCCGATGACACCAGCGGGAGGAGGTGTACTGGCCGGTGGGGACATTGCTAGCCGGTCCCGATTTAGGTAATCGAGACTTTCCAAGCTGAAGTCCATAATGTAGCTTTAAAAGGTGTAATTAAAGGTGGAACATGGGAATACCCGTCCATCTTGCGTTGACAGCAAGAATACTAGTCTGTTGTTGATCAACGGCCGGCGCTTGGCGCCTAGCGCGTAACTAGTTATGTACCTTAGCTGGGGAGCTAGCCGCGGGGCAAAGCAGCGGGAAGCTTGACATGCATGGCTAGGAGGAACATAACCAGCCAACATATATAATTCATTGGTGATATAGATTTGTGAGGCTTTTAGTTGCATTTTTCAGTCTCACGTCATTCTTTCATTTCTTCTCTCAGATTAGCATCCTCACATTCTCTTCTTTCCATTCGTTCAGTCTCGTCAGTTGGAAGCTAGGACAAGGCTTTGGTCGGCAAATCTCTATTGAAAATAAATAGATACAGACCACTCTAGAAACGCCAAAATAGGCCGTCGCCGGAGGCTCAGGCATCAAAAGGGCTCGTCCTCTCGCCGCCTGCCCAAAATGGGGAACGAAAACTCCGTGCTGGTGGACGGAAGCACTGCACCAGTAACCTTGAAATCCAGGTCCGTCGAAGGGATCGCTGAGTACATTAAAGAAAAGAATATTCGGAGGATTGTGGTCTTGGTAAGGATTTCATAACACCCGGATACAATACATATAAATGCAATGCTAATATTTCCCCGCCCGACTTTACGCAGACTGGCGCAGGCATCAGCACAGCGGCAGGAATCCCCGACTTCCGTTCTCCAGATACCGGCGTCTACGCCAATCTCGCCCGTCCAAACCTCCCGGACCCAGAAGCCGTATTTGACATCTCCTACTTCCGCAAAAATCCCTACCCCTTTTATGCCCTGTCCAAGGAGATGTTTCCCGGACGCTATCGGCCAACGATCACCCACTCGTTTATTAAGCTGCTCTACGACAAAGGTCGCTTGCTCAAGCTCTTCACCCAAAACATCGACTGTCTGGAGCGGGCAGCCGGCATACCGGGCGAGATGATCATTGAAGCACATGGAAGCTATGCATCCCACCGATGCATCGAATGCAAAGCTTCATACCCCGAAGATTTAATGCGCAAGGCGATAAATGCAAATGATGTACCTCTATGTCTCGATTGTCAGGGACTCGTGAAACCTGATATTGTGTTCTTTGGAGAGCCACTGCCAGAAGCTTTCTTCATGAACCGTACGCTGACAGCTGCAGCAGACCTGTGCATTATTATGGGCACTAGTTTGAGTGTACAGCCGTTCGCTAGTTTACCTAGCCTTTGCAAAGAAGGGTGTCCTCGTCTCCTGATTAACCTCAATAGGGTTGGCGGTCTCGGTACTAGGCCAGATGATGTATTGCTATTAGGCGAGTGTGACGATGGTGTACTAAAATTGGCAGAGGCGCTGGGTTGGCGGGAGGAGCTAGAGGAATTATGGGCACAGACAAATCCTGAAAAAGCAGGCCTAATGGAGAAAGAAAAGGAAAAGCCGGCTCGCTCTAAGAATGAGCTGCTACGTGATGAGATCGACCGGTTGACAGAAGAAGTAGAGCACACATTGCATATATCGCGAGCCCACGAAGACCGGGTCCGTTCAGAGCTACAGAAGGGGAAGGAGAGTGAGGTGGGAAATGGAGAGGATGCAACGGACAAGCGCGAACCCACACCCACTTCCCAAGATGACGAAGATCGAGTAATGAAGAAGGGTAGCGAGCTCTCCGAATCAGAACAACTCGACCCTGTGCCGCAACAGGAAAGCAAGTCAGAGACGAAATCTAGTGATGATTGTGCTACAAAGCAGGAGAACTCATCCACCGCCGGCCGCGAACCTAATAAAGAAAGTGACCAGGAGACAGAACGGTGAAATAACTAACTAATGGACATCAGGTTTTACCCCCACCTGAAAGTGTCCGGATAACACCTGTTTCATTTCCTGCTTATCATTATGGACCTTGAAAGAGACTTATAAAGATTTAATGACGATCACGATCAAAACTAGGGATGTTTAGAGTACTATGTCAACCTTAATGAATGGCGTCTATTTCCTTTTTCTTCCAAGTCATATTGCTGTCCTTTGCTTGAGGACGATGCCGCTTTCTTAGTTATCTAGAGAAATCAAACTGCTTTGCATATCTGAGCCAGCTCTGAGAATTTCTCCGTTTCTGCGCCGAGTCAGGATTTTCGGGAATAGCTACATCATGACGTACTTACTCTACCTTGGCGCAGCGTTAAATATGTGACATGATTTGAAATGGGGCCAAACCCGAGGGCTGGACGGCCTGAACCTATTAAAGAGGTATAGAATATACGAGTAAATTGAATAAAAGGACTAAGGAAATATATCATGCATACGCGCATTCTTGCTGCGCTAGTGCTGTGGCTGGAGCTTGTAGACTCCATGCCGGCTGCTTACTGTCGTCATATGTCATCGTGCCCAGGTTGGTTCTGGATCTCACCGACAAACCTTCACGGGGCAGACTAAATAATGAAGCTATATCCTACCAACCTCAATCCCATCCACTTTTACATCGATCAACTCCAATTCCTCCCTCGTCCCGTACTCCTCACCTGTCACCTCGATTATTCTGCCCCTGGGCTCCGCAGTAAACCCCGTTTTCTATCCAGTATCCCCCAATTTGAGACCATCGGCCGCCATCGCAATGCCTATAGCGCCCCGCCGAAAGCCGTCCCGAAAGGGTGAGTATTCGCCAGAAAAGCCCCATTAAGCGTCTAGGATCTGGAATATGTCTGAGCCGTGGGATTAGAACTCATGTCTTTGTGGCTACATGTCAATGCGAAGGTGTAACAGCTACAGCTAACAAATCTTCTCTCTTCAGGGTCAATGGCTGATATGCCCAAGGACATGCTTGAACAGCTCAAGACACTAGAAGAGCTCTTCACAGTTGACCAGGCGAAGCTTAAGGAGATTGTTGAACATTTCATCAAAGAGCTACGGAAGGGTGAGTCCCCTTATCCCCGTTTGTTTGTCCAATGGATAGATATCTGTACCCAAGAAAAGAGAAGCGGTGAAGGGGCAGGTGAAGAAGGGGCAGAAGAGAATGCGGGGATTCCATATTGAGGATCAGCCTCTTACAATATTAAATATTTGGCTATTCTAACAATTTGAATGCAATAGGCCTCAGCGTCGAAGGCGGAAACATTGTAAGTTTCCCCCAGCCCTTTCGTTTTACATCCGCTGTGCATCTCCCAAAGGGACCATCCAATTGTCGCTTACTGACAAACGCTTCCTCCTCAGCCTATGAATGTCACCTGGGTCTTGGGATTTCCCACTGGCCATGAAAAGGGCACATTCCTCTCCCTGGACATGGGAGGCACCAATTTGCGTGTCTGCGAAATCGAGCTCTCCGAAGAAAAGGGCGAGTTCGATGTCACACAGTCCAAGTATCGAATCCCGGAAGAGCTGAAGAGCGGCAAATCGTCAGAACTATGGGAATACATTGCGGACTGCGTGTACCAGTTTATCGAATATTACCATGAGGGCTGCACGGCTCTCCCGGATCTGCCACTGGGTTTTACCTTTTCTTATCCTGCCACACAGGATTATGTTGACCACGGTGTACTTCAAAGATGGACCAAGGGCTTTGATATCGACGGTGTTGAAGGCAAGGATGTTGTCCCAATGCTGGAGGAAGCACTGGCTAAGAAGGTAAACATTGGAGCCTCTTTCTCTTTCTTCCCGCTATCGCCTTTTGGGCAAAATGTCCAGCCTTGATCTTGGCTACCAGATACTAATTACATGTGTAGGGTCTCCCCATTAAAGTTGCGGCTCTGGTAAATGACACGACGGGCACCCTTATTGCTTCTGCCTATACCGACCCGGAAATGAAAATCGGCTGTATCTTCGGCACAGGCGTCAACGCCGCCTACATGGAAAACGCCGGCTCTATCCCTAAAATAGCCCACTACAACTTACCCCCCGACACTCCCGTCGCGATCAACTGCGAATACGGCGCCTTCGACAACGAGTATGTCGTCCTCCCGCGAACCCAATACGACATCATAATCGACCGCGACTCTCCCCGACCTGGCCAACAAGCCTTCGAAAAAATGACCGCAGGCCTCTACCTCGGCGAGATATTTCGCCTCGTCCTCCTCGACCTCTACGACAACAAGGGCAAGCTCATCTTTGCCAACCAGGACGTCTCGAAGCTGCGAAAACCCTACTCCCTGGACTCCTCCTTCCTAGCGTTCATCGAAGAAGACCCCTTCGAGAACCTATCAGAAACCCGTGATCTCTTCGAGCGCACCCTAGGAATCCACGCCATGCCTTCAGAGCTAGAATTCTGCAGGCGCCTTGCAGAATTAATCGGCACGCGTGCTGCGCGCCTCTCGGCCTGCGGCGTTGCGGCCATCTGCAAGAAGAAGAATATCACCCATTGTCATGTTGGCGCGGACGGGTCAGTGTTCGAAAAGTACCCTCATTTTAAAGCCAGAGGCGCCAAGGCGTTGAGGGAGATTCTGGACTGGCCGGATGACGTGCCGGATCGGGTTGTGATGAGTGGAGCGGAAGATGGGTCCGGTGTTGGTGCGGCACTTATAGCGGCATTGACCCTTGAGAGGGTTAAACAGGGGAATCTGGTGGGGATTAGAAATAAGGATGCTATTAAGAAGATGTGCTGTCAGTGTTGAGAGCGGCTTTTTGATTGTGTACAAAGTACGGAGTAAATGGAGAGAGAAAAAAATACAGAAGATAGTTACGAAGGCATCAATATATATAAAGATATATATATTCATATAGACCGACTCTGATTTAGGAAGTATGCTACCTAAGTGGGAAGTTATAACCTAGACCAATTGGTCTGACATTAACTTCATGGACAGAGGTAAGTTAGCAGCGGGTTTGTCTTAATATTAGATTTATATTTCTAGTCCGCACGATCCGCGCTTGCAACCCTGGACTCTCGAAAAACTGTCACAATGGAACGCCACATCTCCGATTTGCGTATCGCTAGCAACGCTGAGTTAGGGAATCAAAAAAATTTATCCCCCTTCTACACCTAAATATCCGTCGAAGAAATATAGACCGGAAGCAGCCCTGGGGAAGGAAGCCCCGGACACAATGGTGGATCTGAACCTCGGCGACGAGACATGCAGCAAACCAGACCATTCCTCCCCTATTCCGAGTGACACATGGAGCGCTTAGGAAGAATTATCGTAGTCTTGAGGAGGCAATTGCTGCATCAAGCAAAGAATGGCAATCCATCCCACTGGTAGTTGAATTTGTAGCAATTTTCATTCTATTAACTCTATGAAAGAGTATCTCCATCTCTCTTCGTTTCTTTTTTCCATCCCTGGTAAATATAGAGGTGAATCTTTCGCACCTACCCTTGTAACCCCATGATCCCCTTTCGAGGGCCATACCGTTTTTAAACGACTTATATACGGGAGTATATAGTACAGAAAAATGCGAGCCTACCAGAGGGCTAGCCATGAATTTCCCACAGCCGAATTTTTCCCTGCTCGTTCGCGACAGCCAACATATCCGATGTTGGCGCGATAGCAACTGCCGAAATGCGCCCAAAGGGGGTGTTGGACGTAGGCCAATTCTTATATACAGTGCATGACGGGAGATGAACTGTGTGTAAGCTATCGTTAGTCAACTGAGACTTCGCAATAGTCCATGTACGAAAAGAAACACATGTGTGAAAAAGAAACGAGGTGGGTAGGGATAGTTCAGGGGTGTATTTCATACTCAGTCTCAACGCATCCTTCTTCCACCGACTTGCCATGACAAGCAATTGCCCATCCGCCGAGAAGACAAGATGACTTGTGGGCGTCGTTAGCTGATCAAGCATGCGCGTCGGTTTCGGGTTATGCGGGATCCCGCACTGCCCATCGCCATGATCTACTTCTCCATCAATCTTCTTCCCCTTGCTCTTCTTTTCGATTTCAGTAGCAGCCGCAGCCCATGGCCTCCGGTCATAAATATTCACAATCCCGCTCGAACTCCCAACCGCCACCCACCTATCCCCGCCAATCTGCGTTCTTCCAGACTTTCCACCAAGGCTAATCACCGTCGCGCCCACAGCACCCTCATCGACCCAGCGCGCAACAATGCGCTTCTGCCTCCCATCCCACTCACTAACCTCTCCATTCTTGCCAACAACACACATACCCTCCCCATTACTCCACCACGCGAAATCAGCAACGCCATTGTGGCTGTCAATGCGCACCTGTGAAACCCACTGGAGCGTTGTGGTGCTGAGGATCGTTATAATACCGCCCCCTTTCCGCGCGCTGCCGACGACACCCATCCACCGGCCGCAGGGAGATAGTTTAAAGCGTTCCATAGACTTTTGTTCTTCTTTACGGTCAGCAGGCCCATTGACTTTCTCGACCTTGCCCGTGTCCAGGTCCCAGACATGGAAGTAGCGGCGGCGACCGGAAAAATATATTTGGTTCCCTGTAGGAGAGGCGAAAGTGCTGGTGTGTATCGGGGTGCGGCGGACGTGGAGGGAGGTAAGTAGGGGGTTCGGAGAGGAGGATTTGGGTGAGATGTGGTGGAGGAAGAGAGTTGAGGCCGGCCCGGAGGATAGGAGGAGAGGGTAGTGTGGGTGGAAAGTGAGAGACTCGATGGTGGACTACAGTTGAAGGGTGAGTGTTAGCACGAAGGAAAAATACTTAGGAGTATGACCGCTTGAAAGGGAAAACATACAGGCTGACCCTTTCCAACATCTTTCATCCGTTGAATATCCAGGACTTCCTGGCGGAGCTTCCGCTTCCCACCACTCTTGGCATTATTTTCACCCTTCGTGAGATTACCAGCATTCTGCAATAGGCGTGCTAGCGGTTGCAGGGACATTTCCTCCTCCTCATCTGTATCCATATGATCAGAACCTAAAACACTCTCATCATCCGACTGCGCTCCTGTCTTCCTTCTCTTCGCGCTGCGTCCACCTGCAATGTTGGATGGGTTCGCCCAATCCGGGGCGGGATGTAGTCGTTCAAACTGTTTGCGCAATCTCCGTATATACTCTGAGCCGGTGACGACATCGTCTTCTTCTGTGAGTCGTAGCTTTCGCAACCTATTATTACCCGCTAGAGAGACCGTGATCCGCTCATCGTCACTATCTTCCCACGCCGCAGGGGGTTCATTCTCCCGCTGATCATCCGGCGCACCCTGAACAATTGGGAACTCGAGATCAGCTCCCGCAGTGCCTGAATCGAGGAAGAAGAGCTATATCACATATTAAAACGTCAGTAAAAGTTTCATTTGACCGGAGGTCGACATTGGAAAAATGGATAAGTATATATATTATAAAGCAACACCTACGTCGGCATCATCAACATGTTCCAACCCGCCCTCCTCTTCTCCGCCCTCCTCTTCTCCGCCCTCCTCTTCTCCGCCCTCCTCTTCTCCGCCCTCCTCTTCTCCGCCTCCTTCTCCATCCTCATTTCCATCCCGTGGCACAAGCTCCATACCTTCAACCTCATGTTCTCTTAACGCATCATGAAACCCCGCCGCATCACCAAAGAGCAACCGCTCAAGCTTCTCTTCCGTCTCATCCTTGGGCATTGGTTCATCTTCACTGCTCGCATTATCAACCAGGCCATCATCCTCAGAGGCACCGTGAGTATCAATGAAGAAGCCTGCATCCCTTGGCAGCGAGGCAGCTGCTGCAGCTCTTTCCACGCGGACTTTTTGCATCGAGGGCATTGGAGTTTGCGCGGTTTCTTATTTGGTGGCGCCGAAAGAATCAAGAGATGGGCGGGAGGAATAATAAATTAACCAAATTGTATAAAATAGCAGCTCATTTATAATCGTGTGGACAAGTACCCATAATGGTAATTAGTTGTGGTTTGTCTTAACCTTCACTTTTCATATTTTTAGTTCCCAAGTCGAAAAAAAAAAAACTGATGCCTGAGGCTGCAGACGCGCTGTCACATGAACTTCAAAACCCCAAGCATTTCTCCTTTTCGGGTAAAATAATTCCCGTTACTTCAATATAAACTACAAAGACTGCGATTGCCATATGCGGGCATTTATGAACCTAAAGACTACTCCAAAGGAGAAGGAGGATCAAGTGTAATGAACTCCTGTATAAATCGTTGGTGTGATAGGATTTCTAGCCAGCAACGTAAGGGGCTTTAAGTATAAAAAAAAAAAAAAAAGTTGCAAAAAGGGTTAAAAAATAACAATTCAGCGGTTTATTTTTTTACTTTTATTTTTATTTTTATTTTTTTTACAAAAAGGGCGTATCACATCATGACACACCATTCCAGTGAGCATTGGAACAAACTGAAGATGCATCTGAAATAAAAGTGAAATATATATATATTTTGATTTGGGCTGGATCCATTAAAAAAGACAAGGAATGAGAGAAAGAAGAGAAATGACGCTTCGATAACGCACAGGAGCGAAAATACAAGCAGAAAAGAATACAGAATGCCAGGGTTTGTCTTGAGGAGGCGAATGCTTGGATATCCAAAAGAAGACGACAAAGGCAAATGGAGAATATGAAACATAGCCAGAATTTTCGCCAAAACGCCATTCGCAAAGCATCCCGCAAGTAGACAAGAAAGCAGAACAAGAAGATAAAGTACATCAGGGTGTATCAGGCATTTGTTCTTATGAGAAAACTAACATGGCAGTGAAAGGGATGGCAGGTGAGCATATATCTCAAAATAGAGTATCCAAATCTATCACGGTGGATGCTCAATTAATTTGTAGTACCATTGCCTTTGTCACCAGCTTCAAAGGGTTGTTTCACCCTCGCTTCATCATCACTATCCGAAAAAACCACAGGGTCTTCCTCATCGCTCGAAAATTCAGTATCCCCATCATCAATCCCTGCCAACAACGCACTCCGCCGATGCCGATCATCATCCCCCGCCATCCCGACACCATCAACGCCATCAGAATCACTATCAACATCATCCGGATCTTCGCCTGGAACCCTCTCGTGCCTCACAACAGGCACAGGCTTCTTGATAAAGATATCAATGATATAATACTGCACCGCATTCATAATGACCGGGAACAAAAGCATCACGAAGAATATCTGAACTGCGGTATTCCCCTCTGTCCATCGGAGGGCCCAGTCGCCGATCTTAACGATGAAGGGGAGCATGTGTATCAGGACGACAACGCATGTTTTCATACAGAGCAGGCCGCAGAAGTAGATCACGGATTGCTTGAACCACCACTTGGCGCGGGGCGGGTGGCCGTAGTTTCCTGATTCGATAGATTCAGGCGGGTTGGCGAGCGGAGTGTACTGGGCGGCGCGGTTGAGGATACGGAGGAACAGGATCAAGATGGGGATGCCGAAGGTTGTCTGTATACAGAAATTACATTGATTAGTTGTTGCACACCGCTGTATCCTAGACTTATCCAGAAAAATGATCTTATCTCAAGGGTGTTTAAAATCAATAACACATACATCAATCCCCAAATTTAGCAAGTAATACGAGCACGGATTCGGCTGATACGTCGCCGTCACGGGGATCTGGCCTGCGGAAAACATCGACGCGAGCAGGTTGGCTAGATGCAGCATAGCAGAGCCGAAGACTTGCTTCGACACGTCGAACGCCCATACCTTCACGGGTCGTTGTGGCCGTTCTCGCCATCGCTTGTACACGAGTGAAAGCAGCGCGAGGGCGCCCAGTGCAGCCTGTACAAATAGCGCGAAGGGGCCGAGGAGCTCACATTCGCCATTGCTACCGTCATTTTCCCCGTTGCCGCTGCCCTGTTGTTTTTGATACTGGGATATTATTGAGGTGGATGTTGCCGACGGGGAGGGAGGGAATGTGGAGGACGGAAAGAAGATGGTGTGGGTTGCCGCGACGGCGATGGTGGCGATGACCTTTGAAGTCTGTGATGGTAATAGGTCTGCCATGGCAAGCAGTACCTAGGTGGTATTTAAATAAATAAAGAAGGCCGTCAACTGAAGACACGGGTCATGCCTTGAGAGGAGAAAGTAGGCAAGGACTGGAGCCTGGAATTCGAATGCATGTGGCGGGTAATCGCTTTGCTCTCTCGCTTTGCTCTCTCGCTCTCTCTACCTCTATTTGCTCCTGTTTCCTGCTCTTTATCTTCCGCCCTTAGTTATTCTCTCCTTTTCCGCGTTAGCCCCTGGTCTTCCTGTCGAGGTAAATGAGCGAACGGGGCTGGTTATTTAACCGTGGTTGAGGGACGAAAGTTGCGAACGTATTCCATCCCAAACCGAAATGCCAAGCAAGGCTATGCTGATATTTATTCCATACGGGATGAATAGCTTTTCAAGTCCCGGTATATAGTGGCGGCTTCTAGCTGGTGGAAACAAGCTCGCGGTGCTTCTTCGTATTTCTCAGTTCTCTCTGTGTGGACGTTATGTTATGATGTTGAGGCATGAGGATGTTTAGGTCACAGGCTGGGGTTGCGTGATGTCAGGTGATCTGTCAGTGACCAGCGCCACAGGGCCTGGCCAGGTCCACCGCGTCTGGTATTAACCTCAATACTCTGTAGTTGAAGAAGAAATCTTCGAATATGTCAAACAGAAACCATAAACAGATTTCTTCGAAAGGTGTGATTCTTTATAATAATAAGGCGGCCAACGAATAACCCCAAACCACGAAAGGTTCCATGAGCTTTCACCCAGGGCAGCATCCCGGCTGGGGGAGAGAGAGGAGAGAACACTCAGTTTTCTCCCTCTTTCCTACGTCTCTAAGTTTTCGTATTTCATTCCTTATTTGTTATTTGTAAAACTTAATATAACTGCATATTTCTGCTGACATTCTGCCGTATCCTCCCTATATAAACCTATTAGGGGAAATAAACAAATAACAGTACTAATCGTAATGAACATGAGTCTGACGTGTCAATATCATGAGGAAGAAAAAAAATGGAAAATGAAAAAGAAGAAGAAAAAAACGGGAGGAAGGCAATGAGGAGTGTAGGCAACGAAGCCAATCGATAAAAAGATAAAAAAAATAAAATAAAAATAAAGACCCAAATATTGTTGCACACCGTCCTCCCAGGATAAATTAGAGGTGCACCTCTCTAGCTCCGCAAGGCGTAGTGGTAGGAGAGGTAAATGTTCTCCAAATAAGTGACTTTGGAAAACGATTTGTCACACTTGGAAGAGAGGAATACATCGAATGGGGTTTTTAATCATATGATGATAGGGGGGGAATGGGAGGGAAAAAAGAAGATAAGGAAAAAGAGAAGATAACCGTGGGGGGAAATAAATAACTAACAAGAAAGAGAGACATGCATGCAAACAAAAAACGAGGGAAGAAGACGAAAAATCAGTCGATGCCGTGTTGTTGTTTTAGTCGTTCTAGGTTTTCTTGTCGGGTGGCCAAATCTTCCCTCGATCTGGCCATCTTCTCAGGTTGATGGTATAGCACTAAATCGTAGTTTAGATGAGTCAGTAGGTCTGTTAACCCAGGGTATCGAACAATCAAGCTCGCTCCTTCTATTATCCATGACATTCCACCGCTTTCTAGATGTGTATCTATGGATATACTAACCGACAAGATATCTGTTCTGGAAATTGAATCCATTCAATTTATCACAGGCCTGCTTGGCATCGACAACATCCTCGTACACGACGAATGCAGTGCCCTTCGAGTTTGCTGCAATGCCCTGACGTATTTGACTGTTTATTCCATCAGCAATCAGCAGGTATGTCCTTTACTCAAATATTTGTTGATCCAATGGCGGCCAGAGAGTGGGTGCTCCCTTACCGAATAGGGCCAAATTTCCCGAAAAGGTCAAAAAGCTCCTCTGCGGTGACGTTGTAGCTATACATTTAAAATGAAACGATTAGATATGGCCTCTTTCCCATCGTATATCGAGTAGAACCGGAGGAAGGGCTTGCGGCGAAGAGTTATCTGTGCAGTCTCGAGGTGTCCCTTCGGGCACGGCGAGCAGGCAGGCATGGTTACGACGATGCTAGGTTTAACTCACCTAAGGTTCTTCACAAAAAGGATCCTAGATTTCCACACCGTGTTAGTACCGTTCATATATACCTTCCCATCATTATGTGCTTGTCGCAAAGAGAGATTCAAGCCAATCGGGGCCAGAGGGAGGAGAGAATATTCTAGTGACATACCTGTTGGCTTCCGGGGCAAGCTTGGTGCTGCGGCTCATATCTCTTAGGCGAGGTCTGTATGCGGAGACGGGGATTTGCTTAGGAGCAGAGTAGTGCTATATGTGTGTCTGATTGTGGGAAGGGTAGCGGGCGGGTGGTTGGATATTTGTCGACAGACAGAGGAGACACAGACCTTGGGAGATCGTTAAAAGAGTACTCCGTAGAGAGATGAGATACAACGCCTTGCCCATTGCTCCTGGGATCTTGGGTTTGGTCGGATGGGTTGTTGCCGCTTTGGGCATAGTGTGGATTATGTAACAAACATAAGGGGCTAGTCCCGATGTCGACTAAGGACCCAGCCGGGAAACTTTAACTGGAAGAAGTGGAGACGTTTGGAGCCTCAACCACGCCTTTGGTCACGTCATCCAAGCCTCAACTAACCATCCAACCTCCACAGCGCAAATCCCACTTTGGCTTGCGCTCAGTGGAAACATCATTCTCAGTACGCAGAGATATTAAGCACGCGTCTTTTTGGAGCGGGTAAGAGAGGGCAGTCTTCTTCCTGCTCCTCTTGTCCTCAGCGTCTGGTGGCCCAGTGGTGGGGGCAGCTAGGTATTGGGTGGACACATTAAACAGAAGCATGGGCCAACCTAACGGTGTAATAAGTTGCTTTAAAACTTGAAAACGTGCCGATTACGGAGTACATGGCCGATAAAACATGGACATACATACGATAGGACAAGGCCCTCCTGCGTTGTCATCAAAACGATGAACAATGTGTTGGGGGTCCCGCGGTTGATCGGCCCTTCTACCAGCAGGCGCTGGTGGTGATTGAGCTCTTTTGCCCCAGTAGCCTACACAATGCATCGCCGCCATGCTTACCATACTCCCACACGCCCTAATTACCTATTCAATTGCTCACAGCTGAATCAGCTAAATAGACGCCCGAAGCTCTGGGCCACCATCTTAATCCGACTTCCCTCTTGATATTCATGAGCCTACAGAAGCAGGGCTTACTTTAAACAGACCATTTCTACTCCTATTCCAACCACCTACGCCATTGGCTAATCGCAACGAGCTGGGTTATCAATGAGAATTAGAGATACAGAACGACCTCCCCCCATCTCCTCTCGTTATTAACCATCACAAGGTTCCATAGCATACTATAGCAATCACCTGCTGAGTTTATATTCGTTCTTTCTTTCTTTCTTTTCATCACCTATGTCTATTGAGCTCATAGAGTTGACAGACCTGATGAACGTCTGCCCAACCGTGCGATCATCCCGCTGCGGGGTTGCCGCCTGCGGACAAAGGCGCCGGGGTATGGCTGTTTCTTTTCGGTTTGTTCCTGATTGGGGCCGTGATATGGAATAAGCTCCACTTGATTTGAAGCTGGCTACCTTTTTTTTTTCCGAACCCATACTAATAGTATAGGTTTTAACATTGCCTCCAGGAGCACTACAGCCGTCTCCCGCAATTTTTGCACAACCCCAATATCCCCGTCATCAGCACCGCCGCAACGAACATAGCCTTTCTCGGGACTCCCTTTGCGCCTTGCGTACGGTGTCGTCTTTGCCGGTAGTGGGGTTAGCAGTGTGGGCTTACCTTTCCTTTTTGAATGGCTCCTGGCGTACGGATATCGCAAAGCTCTCAGGGGGCTTGCTATTGCCCAGGCAGTCTTAGTGGTGCCTATCCTACTTCTAATCAAGGGTAGACGGCTTCCATTAAGTAACGGAAATAAACTTACCTCTAGGGTGGAATTTGATTATGTGCATAAACCTCAATTCTGGGTTTTGATGTTCTCTAACCTGTTCCAGGGCTTTGCCATCTATGTCCCTTCTATCTATCTGCCGATATTTGCAACCCTGGCTGACCTTTCACCTCGAATGGGCGCGCTTCTCTTGTCAGCATTTAATATCGCTTCCACGCTTGGTTAGGTTGGGTTCGGCCATGTCTCCGACCGGTTCGGCAACTTTTACATCCTAGTCTTCATCACGACATTTGTCTCCGCGGTTGCTTCTTCTTGGTCTGGGGCTATGCGCAGTCTTAGCTCCACTGCCAGCATTCGCCATTCTCTTTGGCTTGTTTGGCGGTTCGTATGTTGTTTTCTAACCCAAATTCGCGCTTTTGTCGAAGGAACATCTGTTTTCGTATGGCCTCATGGCCTTTGGTAAGGGTGTTGGAAACGTTCATGACTGGACCCATCACTGAGAAATTGTTGGCTCTGCCTGCTTCCTCCGGTTATGGGCTGGGAACCTAGAAGCATGTAATTATTTACACCGGTACCCCTTTGTTTGCATCGTCAGTTGGCATCGTCGGATGGCCTTTGAACAGAACGCTATTCGAAAGGCATCCGGGGATAACAGTCGATTGAGATAATGCAAAAACCTTTAAGCTTTAACTTTAATTGTATATGTATATTGTTTTGAAGTCGCGCATTACGTCACTGTAGATTCACCCCGAAATCCTGTAGATACAGAGTGAAGGATGCAAAATCCGGGTTCACAGCCGTTCCCCCTTTTGGAGAGTTGCTTAAGGAGTCTTGATTCAACAAGACAACATATATAAACCTTATCAAGAGACATTTCGAAGGGCACCGAAATGGCAGAATCATTGGACCTTCGTTAATAGTTCATTATTTTGCCGGGCTCTGATAGGTAGGGGACGGTGGTGGATGCGCGCTGACGCCGCTGTCTTTACGCTTCCAGGAGGGTTTCCTTTGAGATCCAACTGGAAAATTAACAAGATATCCATGTCAATCTGCTAGAGTTGGTGGCGGGTATGACTACTGCGTAAACACTTATGGAGTGCATTCTAAAGTTCAGAATCTCCTGGCCGGGTGGTGGAGATCTTGGATCTGGTTAGTTTCCTCGTTATTCTCAAACGCTTGTCTGATTCCCTTGGAACTTTGCCTCTACCATACGCATGATACAACCTTCACGATTCAATCTATACTCCTGGTTAAATACTTCCCAACTCACTGTTACGCTTTTATCACACAGAGCAGATGGCATGTTCCGTCCCAATCTCCAACTCCGGAAGAGATCTATGCAGAAGCTTCAATTTCTTTTCGAGTTCACTCCAGCGGACGATGCGCAGCAATGCAATGAACCGCTAATACCGTTCGCGGCCGCCTGAGGCCAGTATTTGTGACCTCTTCCTGCCATCAGGCCTTACCTACGTACCCAATATCTAGGAAAACCCATAGCCACTTCTAGCAGCCAAAAGCCAAAGCTCTCCTCCTAAAATGAGCTTACTACCGTCAAGCCGCCTCCTTGCGGGATAGCAGAATGAACGGCCTGCTATATACCATGTTATCCTATTCTTCGTTCCGGCACATCACCCAACCATGTACCCTTGACCTATAGGATAAGGCGCAATAGGCCGGCCGTAGACGTTTCGCATACTCCTTCTCCTACCTCGATCTCCGCTTACCACTTCTTTGTATGCCTCTATATACCCCGAAGCTCGTAAACCTGCTAGGAGAAGTCATAAATGAGGGAGTTGCACTAGAAATAGCCGCTGTCAGTGTTTTGAGGGATATACTAGGAAAGGACAGCAAGCGGGGCTCTTGGACGGACCCAACGTTAGATAGATTCCTCTATGGCACTTGCTTTGATTTTCGAAGTCTATGCGATCCAGCGTACAGAGCACTTCGAGAACACAGTGAAGAAATCTATTTCAGCGTAATAACAACAAGACAATGATATTAAATAACTTAGGATAGATTATCTACCCTAAGTTAGGTAAGGAAAAATCTGTTTAACGTAGTCTGTTTCGTTGGCGAAAACCAGCGACGAGAGGTTGATGTGATATAAACACAATACCGTTATTGTATTCCGCCGCTGGGCGAAACCAGCGCTGCGTATTGTCCATACCAGCCACAACACCAAACGTCAACTGGCTCTGGCTTCAACCTCACTCTGCTCTCCCACCGCAACTTCAATTCATAATCTGCCTGTCTTATTCTGATCATCGACACTCAGGAACTCGCAACATCGCCACAGCTTTTACTCCATGGCCGCCCTCCATGGTGGCTGAGAGCTCTAGCGGGAGTTGCCCCCCAGTGCCGCCGCCGCCGCAAGCCAAACCATCGCCTGTTTCGCTTAGTCCCTTCCCCGTTGCGGACAACCACCTTCGGAGCCACTCCCCCCAACCCAGCCGCTGTGCTCTCTTCTGCTCCCATCTCCGCCTTCCATCCCCCCTCCCTGCGCACTCCATCAGAACCCCTTCTCTGCTCCCAATAAGTCCGAATCCGCCGTACTCTCTGATCCATCGGGAATGCGTCGTCGCGCATTCCCTCTTTTCTGCTGTTAGACCTGTGTGGTCAACACTGCCTTCCCCGCCTTTGCTATCAACATCGCGAAACCGACCGCAATCCATCTGATTAGACGATTCAATCTCCCCCCGGCGAGCCTACCATCACCAAAAAGGCTGCCATGGCAAATACCTCGTCCTTTCGGAATCCCTCTAGGGTGCGGCCATTACGCTATCGCACTCCCTCGCCACCGCGACATGCCATCGAGTCGATCTCACCTCGCGCTCCCGCCGATTCCTCCTCTTCCTCCATCCGCAACACCCACCCTAGCGATGGCGTCCAACAACCCCGAAATGATCCTCCTTTTGTTGAGAAAGGGTCATCAGTGAAGCCTGGGTGGAATAATAATACCTTTCAAGATGGGCGGGAAAGTCTTGATCATCGTTATAGTCACCATCCTCCCGGCGGTTCATCCAGCAACCACGCAAATACAAACCCCACCGGTAGAGTCGGCCACCAAAGGTCTGGTTCAAACATCGATACTCTTGCCACCATCGCACTCGCGACAAGCCCAACCTTCGCGCCTCTTACATATGACGAACCCGCTACTGCTATATCCCCCACAACCCACCAAGCACCTACTCCCAATCAGTCCGAACGACCATCCAAGCGCGCTCGATCGGAAAAGGCTCCATCACCTACCTGGCTAATGGGAGCTTCCAGGCCTGCCACTAGCCATGTTTCTACCTTTGATAGCATGAAGACTGATGCAGAACTGTTGCTTAACTTTGCGAGACCAAGTAATTTCCCTCCACTCTATGATGCCTCGAGACCCCAGCAGCTGGCTGCACACGAGTCGACGAACGGCCAAAATCCCGGTGTTAAATGGGCCACGGACCCTGCTGAGCTGTGGACGAAACGATGGGATATTACCGCGGAAAACAAGCCATCCTCTGCTTTCTTTAGGAGCAACAATAATGGTACTCCATCTCGCATTCGATCGAAGTCCGACGGTTCTGCGTTCACCGCAAGACCATTCATGAACGGCTTCGCGTCCGGCCACTTCCTAGCCCCATCAATTGGTCCGGCGCTCGAGGATGACTCAGTTGATCCACATTACATTGCAGAGGAGAACCATGATACTACTTTGCAAGCAAATGGCCCAGATACCCAACAAGCACCGCGTCCACTCCAACGTCCGAAAAGCATACCTGCCTCCGATTTTAAGGAGGAAGATTCCGATAACGACAGTTCCGGTCAAGCAACATGCGCGGCCTGTCACCTGGATCGAGTCGCGTCTGATAGTGAGGGCGATGAAGCTGTGACTTGGATAAATTGCGATGGATGTATGAGGTGGTTCCATATCGTGTGTGCCGGATTCAAAAGCGATCGCGACACTAGAACAGTCGACAAGTTTATCTGCCGTGGATGCCGCCCTACGCATGGACCAACTACTTTTGTACGCAAGTCCTCCCGCGCACGAACGGCCATCGACTATGCTAGTCTAAATCAGGGGTATGTAATGCCGTCCGCTGAAACGCCTGAGCATCATTATATCCAGCCAATCAAGGAAGGGAAGATCACATTTTTGCCCGATCATTTTGCTCGTATACGTCCGGAACTCGTCACTGCGGAATATTTCGAGCGCGGTATAGGAATGACTGAGCCGATAATCATTCCCGCATCTCTCAACACGCGATCCTCCGTTCCTGGTTCAGCCGATTATTATCCACCCGAAGCCTCCACGCAAGAAGAATTCGATGAACTCGCGGATAACATGCCTGACGATGACGCTGACTACAATGAAGTTATCGATTGTGGCCAGGATTTGTTGGACATGGTCATCCCACAAGGTCTCACTGTTCGACATGTCGCTGAGCTTTATGGACCCGAAGAACGCGTCGAAGTGATTGATGTCAAATCACAGCAGGGGGAGGACAAGAGATGGAACATGCAACGGTGGGCAGATTACTACTACGACGATTCCACGTCAAAGGCCGTTCGCAACGTTATTAGCCTCGAGGTGTCGAACAGTCCTCTTGGGAGACTCATTCGACGACCCAAAATTGTGCGTGACCTTGATCTCCAAGACCACGTGTGGCCAGCGGAGTCGCAGGCTATAGGGGAATTTCCAAAAGTCCAATTCTACGTCTTAATGTCCGTTGCGGATTGCTACACTGACTTCCATGTCGATTTCGGGGGCTCCTCTGTCTACTACCATATTCTGAAGGGAAAGAAAAGTTTCTTTTTCATTCCGCCCAAGGATAAACACCTAAAAAAATACGAAGAATGGTGTAATTCAGCTGCACAGGATACTACCTTTCTCGGAAACCAAACCAAAGAATGCTATCGAGTTGACCTTTCCGCTGGTGACACCATGCTCATTCCATCTGGTTGGATCCATGCTGTCTGGACACCGGAAGATAGCCTTGTCATTGGCGGAAACTTCCTCACGAAGATGAACTATGGAATGCAAATCAAGATTGCGAAAATTGAGAAGGACACAAAGGTTCCTAAGAAATTCCGTTATCCGTACTTCCAGAAAATCATGTGGTATGCTGCCATCAAATACTTGGAGGATGATCCAATTCCACAGACAGTTCTGGAGTCATTCTCCCGTGACGAGAACTACCGCTTCTATCGCGAGTATCCAATTTACTACGAATCCGGAGAGAATGACAACCGCGCTGAACCTGGTTCGCAGAATTACAATGCACGCTTCTACTCACAAGCCGAGCTGGATGGGTTGCCCGAACTAGCAAAATATCTCCTGAGGACTGCTTTGATTGCTGGTGGGTACCATGTTGATGGCGTCACGACAGAAACCAGGAATGCCGTGAAGAGATCTATCCCTAAGGGACAAGCAGATCCTGTTGACACCATAATAAAGTTTGGAGTGTGGGTAGCATGGAAGAGAGGGAATGAGCATGCCGCGAGCTGGACACGTCCTGGTGCCATTTCTCTTGATACCAAGGTTGATATGTCGGGCAGGAAGCCGACTGTTAGACCCAGTCGACGTTCACAGCGGAATATCGCCGCAGAGAGCCTACAGCTTAATAACAACCTGGAATTGAGAGCTGGTCGCCGCCCCTCCTATCAATCATCCGAAATCAATACGAGCGGTATGTCTAGTACAGGCTTTACTTCTACCTCTGCGCCGTCGACAAGCGGAACACCAGCGCCTCCGAAACGAGAGGCCTCTCTTGTTGATGTGGATGAAATTATCCAATCAAATAAACCACGTTCGATATCGAAACCGACCGGCCTGGGTCCAAAACGCGTTGCCTGTGATGCTTGTCGGAAACGGCGGATCCGTTGTCGGCATAAGGATGAGCAAAGCTTAGAATCTTTTACATCCTTGACGGCCAAGCAACAGCCACTCAATGGCAAGGACATGGCAGCTGCTGGGGCCTTGAACCTTGCTTCTGCTGCACATGTTGATCGGATTAAAGAGCAGCATTCTGGGAAATGGGATGAGATGCTCCCCAACGCCATGGATGATTCTTCAGCACTCCTAATGACTCCTCAGGCCAACTCCGCCAAGGCCAAAGGGTTTAGCCCGAATTCCTCCAATTCTGGAAAGAAGGGCCGTAGCAAGGCTTGTGATGAATGCCGGAAGAGCAAAGTTAGTTTTTTCCCCTGCCAAATATCTTTTTTTCTTTTTTTCACCCTATGGTGTTGTCATGTCTAACCCATTGACTTCTCTCAGCGTCGTTGTATTCATGATGAGAATGGCCGGATAGATCCCATCAAAGCGCAGGAACGATCGAAACCCCGAGCGGCAACCTCCACCAAGCGTCCTCGATCTAGCGACGACAATATATCGCCCACGTCGAACAAGCGGCAAAAGCCGGAATTTGAGTATTCGGGAGAGGAACTTCCTCAGACCAAATTGGACTTTGAGGCGGTGCAATTGCAGGGTCGTATGAATGGGCCAAATGAGAAGCTAGGCTCTGGTGATAAGGTTGGGGCTACAGCGCACAGTGAGCTTACCCAGAGCCAAACTTCATATGCATCACCACCCACATTGAAAGCGGATCTCGTACCACCATCAGAAGTTACCTCCTCCTTGCCGGCCACCACAGCCCCAGCAAGCAGCCTTGTCTCTCCCCCTACCTCTCTCGCAGACGATATGGAAGTCGATCCTAACCAGACCGACGGCGAAACGAAGGCGGCCGTAAAGAACGAGCAGCAACAGCAGCAACAACAATATGGGGAACTCTCTGTCGTTGACGACGCTACTGCCACCCTATCCCGAAACTCTTCCAGTCACCCTCGCCTAGTTCCTGAGGCCACAGTTCTTGCTGGGGAACACAAGACGACGGCGACGGCAGCACGCGCTCCACCCGCGACCGTAACCGCACCTTCAGACTTGTCAGTAACAATCCCATCTTCATCTACCTCTACCTCCATTATAAAAAAGCCATCATCATATTCTCTTTCCTCTTCCTCATCCCGTCCATCCTCTTCGCATCACCGCACAAACGCCCTCCCGCTTCCTTCTTCTTCCTCAACCTCTTCTTTCAAGCAGGAAAGGGAGACCAAGCAGCACAATCCCGTTGTTGACAAGAAGCGCGTTGAAGGAAGCCATCCCTCTCCTCATCCCAACCGCCACAGCAATAGCCGCACCTCACCGACCTCTCCGCATCAGCGCAACAAACTGACGAGTCGTGACACGACTCGCGGCAGCTTTTCGGATGCGGATGCAGATCCAGAGACGTTGCGGCTGATCAGGGAGATGCAGGAGCAGGATTTTGGATTGAGGAAGAGGCCTTCGAGGACGTGACCGAATCGATGAATTACGTACATCCATGTTGGTTCTCTCGGTACTCGGCTCGAACTAGCTACATACAATAGGTCCCCAACCGACTTTACTTTTCCTTCTTTCCGTACAGCGAGTTTTCTTTTTTTTAACATGCATTGCGTTCCCTATATTCATCCGGGATAATTTTCTACTTCTTAAATTCCATTTATTCAATCCCGGCATGGCCATATATCGGATAGGTCATTCGTGTCGGGATCCCGATATTGAATTCTTCGATTTACCTGCTCAACGGAGGCGGAAACCATTCTCTCCGGGTCATCTTCTGTTCGCCTTCACCCACTCAATCTTCATCTGTGGTTAAAACCAGGCCGGCTAGTGCACATCACCACTCTCCGTTTCCATACTGTTATCGCATGGTGTTACTTTCACATACTCCTATTTCCCCATCCTGAACATCCATTATCAACTCCCTGTTCCAATTTTTTTTTTTTTCTTATTTCCCTTTTCCCCACTTATCCCTCGTCTATATCACCTTTTCCTTTGTTTTTCTGTGTTGCTCACGAACTCCTTTTTGTTCTTGTAGTACTCAGGCTTGGTGAGGGAACACGTATGGCTGGCGTTTTCTTTTCTTTTCTTTTTTCTTTTCTTTTTTCTTTTCTTTTATTCTTTTTTTTTCTTGTTACTTCTCATCCAGCTTTACCTCCTAATACCTTCCGCATCTACTTCTCTTTACTTCTCCTGATCCTGCCTGCTCCATAATATTTCTTACTCCTTCTCTCCGTCGCCCTCAGAATTCTTTCTTTTCTTTTTTTCTTTTTCTTTTTTTTTTTCCACCATTTTTCTTCCTATAGGTATTTCGCTTGTTTGTTTTCCTTTTTTTTTTATCATATCTTATCCAGGGCTCGGGGGCGCGCGGACAGACATGGAGTTTTACTGAGTTCAAGCTTCTTTTCTAAGCTGAAGTGGCTGTTTTCTGTTTTTCTTCCCCTTTTTTGTATGGGTGGATTATGAAAGTAATTAATTGGCGGAAACTGGGAGTTTTATTTTTTTTTTATTTCCATGCTCATTTTTTTTCAAATATATCTCTCTTGATTTTCTCTGCTTTGCTTTTTAAACCCCCCCCCCCCTTTTTTTTTTTCCCCTTTTACTCATATTCTCTAAACTACCAGTCTTCTGATCTCCTTCTAAGTATCTAAGTACAGTAACATCTCCTAGCTAATAGGTTAACATGTCTTGATTTTCTTTTATTAGTCCCCTTCGCTCCTTTTTCACTTTTCGAAACCTCTTACTACTCTTGCTTGCCCAATTCTAAGAACCTCCGCACTCCGTTCCCCTTCCCTTTCTTACCCCAAAGGACGATGATACCTAGGGGGTGGTAACGGGTGGTGAGTATGATAAATGACCCTTCTTTTCCATTCATTCTCTTTTGTCTTCTACTTCTGTATGTTTCATTCATCTTATCTAGGTTTCTAGTCAACTGTACCTATATGTACAGCGAGTGTTCATTTTCATTTCCACTTTTGCTCTTCTTTTGTCAACATTTTCATGTATATACACACATTACATACAAATCATATTACTAGCATACAGAGAACCAGACGGACAAACGGACAAACGGACAAACAGACAAACAAGACAAAGGCACCTATGACAACTCCATTTTCCATTACGCTCTTTAACGGCGATTCTTTTTGCAAGTCTCGTTTCATGCCTAACATCTGTTGTTATCAAGCAAGGACTAGAAGTTACAAGAATCAGCAAGGTGCGGATAGTTACGTAGATTGCCAACAGGTTGAACGAAGTAGGTAAAACAAATAATATAACTAAGCAACAAGATAAAATATATACAGGTGTTTTCAACAATCCCGCAATAACTAATCAATGTCAGAGCGAAAAACAGCCAGCCGACCATCTCTATACCATCCGGTTCCCCCATCCCAATCCATCCCACCTCTAACCCACAATATCTTCTATATGCGTGTATGTACGTATATATGTAATGAATGTATGTGTTGGTGTACAGTACAATCCTGAGAAAGGGTTGCCAGTACTAGCACGGTCGTCTCAAAGGGTATAATAAGAACTAAAAAAAACGGCGGGAAGGAAGAAAACAAGAAATGGATCTTCCCAAAAACTCCCCTCGACCCCAATTCCTCTAGGTAAATTGCAAGCAAAAAAAAAAAATAAATAAATAAAAGAAAAACATAAAAGAAAAAAGAAAAAAGAAAACAACCAAACTCAAAAAAAATGTCATAGAACCCCATTCAAGAGTCCCACGTTTTTACAAACACCGAAACCGGACCCTCTTGTCTATCATGTTAACACCGTTCCTAGAAAAAGAAAGAAAGAAAGAGCAAAAGGAAAAGAAAAGGAGCTAAAATTCACAACACCGCCGTCCCATTCTTGCCAACAAAGCTTTTCCAGATCCTCGTCACTTATCTCCAATCCAATTCCTAATGACACATGGATCCGTCGCAGCACCCCCGCAGATCTTCCGGCGGCCGAGATTCTTAAACCTGGGGCCCAATGGTCCGTTCACATAGTGGTATTGTCCGGCAAATCTATACTGTCTCGGATCACCCAGGGGGTAAAACTTGTCGCCCCAGTGGCCGGCAAAGTAGAACCATTCTGTTGGCGCGTGGGGGGTAACGTTCGCGGCGCGTAAAACGTCGTTATTATGGTCGTAGGTGTACGCATGGTAGTTACGGGCAGGATCCCAAAGGGGGCCACGGTCAGTTTGATCACGCAGCAAACCCAATGGGAGGATGTAAGCGTGGCTGCCTGGCGTGGGGTACATGGCGTGTGTCCCAGTAGCTGAATATATAACAGGCTAAGATGAGAGTTCAGTCAGGATTGCTCACAGAGGTAATGTGTAGTACATATATCAGGTTTAGAAGAAGAGCTTACCCTTTTTCCGATTTTCTCTAGCGCGTCATAGCTATAGGCATCCCCAAACGAATGTTCGCTGAAAAATACAGCCTTGGGCTTCCCGTGGTGGAATCGAACAAGCGAATGTTCCCAGTCGCCAACGTGATTGCCGAAACGGACGTTAAGAACTATGTTGCCGAGATTAAAGCTGTAGAAGTAGAACCAGAATGCATCCACAATACCGTTGCCTTTATCCACGACGATTAAAACTGCTGGGGCTTTGCTACGGCCGGGAATGTTGTTCTTTTCATCGCGTATACCTCTCGTATCCGGCCAGGGGGCTAGTTTATCATCCACAATATCGTACTTTTCAGCTGCCTCCGCGGGAATCGGTGATGAATGTGAATCAGGGTCCGCTTCGTTCCCTCTTTCCTTTGGAGGACTGCTTCCAACATCATGCCAATCCTCCATGTCGCTGACCGCAATAGCTTCCTGTACGTCGTGAATTCCACTGTGCCACTCCAATTTGTCCTCGGTAGCGTCAGGCTTCGGAATGTTTTTCTTTGCCTCTAACCAAGGTGGTCGATCCTCCACATTGTCATTGCTGGTCAAGAAAACATAGCTTCCGTTCTGCCACATGTTCAGCTCATTGAGGTCAGCAAGGGTGGGATGCTCAGCTTGAGCTTGGATGGGGGTATAGTTCAATTGTGGTGTAATATGGTAAAGATGCTCCGCAATATCACCAGGCCAAAACTGTTCGCCGGAGAAAAGGTGGACCAGGGGGGCATATTCCAGAACGTAGTTGGGAATCACGCGCAATCGGCGTTCATCGTTGGCCCAATCTTCAGGGCGAGTTTTGTTGCCGCTCGTCCAATAAGATTCCCACTCTTCCTGCTCACCGGCATGTGCGGTTGGTATTTGGCCATGCTGCACAGACTTGCGATGTCCAAAACGACCGTTTACTCCTCGAAAGTGAGCAACTCCGCAAAGACCAAGCCAGCGACATGCTTTACGATCCAACGAGGAATTTGAGGTCGCGACCCAGCGGCTTTCCTCCCTATCCTCGTCATACCAAATGAAAGCGGAAGGGTTAAGAGCCCTAGCCAAGCTGTTTATCGATACATAGGCAATTAAGGATGAGAGAATGGTGATCGCAGCACGGGTTTTTGTCCTCATTTGCTGGCAGATAGAAAGATCTGATTGTCTCCAGGGGTTGTTGGCAAGCTGGGGGGTTAATGTAGATTCAGTTGTTGGAAGATTACTGTGCGCAACATTTGGTGGATGTCTATCGTTCGCACCTGATTCGGATATGAGGATTTCGGGCACCGAAGTAATTTCAGACACAGACTGATCGGGGACAACAATTGTCTGGTTTCCGTCTTCTTCTTCTTCTTCTCCGTCGTCGTTGTATAAAGGAGAATCTCGTGGCTCATCTGGGATACTGATATGTGATGTCAAGGTGATTACGGGATGGCGATACGCGGGTTGTATAGACGGCGTCGGGGGAAGGAGCGGCAGCTGGACGCCATGGTCAAGCACAGGCCGCAGAGCCACTATGTAATACAGTAAGTAAGCGCATGCCACAGTGGAGCTTGATTACAAAAGGAAAAATGTAAGACAAGTTCCCTTCGCCGTAGGTTGGGAAGACAGCATTTGGTGTCCGGCTATCGGCTCCACCGCCTAAGCCCGGATCGGCAAAGAGATTGTATTGGAAAAATATATTGACAGTGGAGAACGAGAAACGTAAAGGCTCAACAAAATCAACAGCTGTTTATCCCGGGCAGACCGCATGTTGGCAAAGGTGTCATGTCCAGTCAGAGCATCTGGGACCGGGAGGGGGCAGAAACCCAAAGTTCAGACCATCACCAAATAGCAAAGGCAAGATATTTAGATATTTAACAGCGCTAATACGGCTCCGAGATATGCCCTAGCAGAACCCGTCTGAACGGATGTAAAGAGAACAGGCACAATTGGATGCGAGCAACAGCAGCAGCTTGCTGAGGCATTTGAGCTTGCAGGGTCCGGGCAGAGCCGCAAGCCCGAAGTTTAGAAATCAACGCAGAACAGGTTCATAATCAGAGAATTCGGTGACCAATGGGAAGAATGTGGGGGGGGTCACTATGTAGCAGTATGAAAGAGCAACCTACTTCTGGTCAAATATATCTCGCAAAGGTTCGGTTGAGAGGGAGCGGACGGCGGAATGGTTAGCAGCAGCTGTGGTGGTCTTCGTACAGTTTCCAACGGCAATGCAAAGAAAGAGGATTCTCAGTTAAGCTCACCCGCCTCTGCAGTAAAAGATTGAAAGTTATTAGTGCGGACGGATATATTCGCCGGGAGTCATAGGAGGGTATGTATACCTTAGGGCTGGTAGTGAAGTACATGTACATGAACCTTAAGGAACAACGGTAAGACGGAAGAATGGATATAGAGAGTCCAAGAGGATGAGGTTATTGATTCCAGAAAGAATATCAGCCATGAGATTTAGTGTGACAGTGAAGGGCGCTTGATCACGTTGCAGATGTTCTTGTTGTTGGACCTTGGTTGTTAAGACGTTTGTTGTGTGTGAGTGAGTAAGAGAGATAGAGGGAGGGAGAGAAGAGAAGAGAGAGTTGTGTGTGTATGTTGTGGGTGGGTGAGTGATGAGTGATACCAGAAGTTGGACGGATGGATGGATGGATGGATGGATGGATGGAAGATGTTGGAGATGAATAAATAACTAACCATTAACCAACTAAATAATGCAGGTTTGTTTCAGCCGCCGCAGCTGGGATCTTCGATCTTCGATCTGAAGAGCTCAGAGCGGTTGCTACAAAACAAGGGCTTCCAATTCTATTATTCGAGCTGTTTAAAACTAGAATTCTTATAATGGTATTTAACTATCAAAGAGCTAGCAGCTAATTGAATTGGTCTTCATTTTCGGATTTCGGAGGAAGTTCCATCCATGGCTACAAATGATATCTTTATATAGTTATAGAGCAGCACTACTAATTCAATCCCCCCCGGATATATCCAAATATGAATATTCTTCTTCCATTTGACCAAGTTATTGACTTCTTTTCTTCCTTTTTCTTAATTTTCCTCATATTTCTTTTTCCTTTAGTTCCTTTATTTTCTTTTGTCCTTTCTACTTTCTTTCCCTTGTCGATGACCTCATTGTTCGACTGCTTATGTCATCCTTCGCGTCCATATATAGTTATGCCTCGACGAGCTTCATGAACAACATTCCCCGCCGGCCAGATACGATACCCCATATATATATATATATAAGACCAAGCAGCTACGGAAATTAACTGCTACTCGCATGGCTGTCTAGGTGACTTAAGCTTCGATGCTGCCATTTTAGATCGTCGCCTCCGTTCATTTGCCCTCCCTCTGCGAACAGTGAAACGCGTGCTCGACTCAACCTCCACGCTCTCAGGACCGGACTTCAAGAATGGTCGCATCAGACGATTCTGACTCTGACTATGAATATGAATATGATTATAACGCGAAAGAGGTGTGTGTAATCCTCAATTCATAATAATAATATCCCTGTCTGGAAAAATCACCCTGGTTTTTGCCGGTCCATCAAATATTTAGAAACGACCGCCGCCTACTAATACACTTTGCTACATCCAGACTTTCTACTTAAACCTCGACCTGACGACATGCAATGGCCCCATTCGAGCCCCGCGGAAGCGCACTACATCTACTCCCACCGAACCCACCACATCATTAGACTCCCCTCATGCCGCAGCCCAAAATGGCGGTGACGATCAGCAGCAAGACAACGGCCCTGCCGACTCTGATCCAGACATCCAAGACCACGACCAACACCAACACCAAGACCAGGTTCAAATCATGGATCTACATTCCAAGAACCCAATCATCTCTTACCGGAACCAGATCTTCTCCTGTTCATGGGTCGACCTGGTCGGGACGGAGATGACCTTCTCAATGCCCGAGGAACGTTCCACGCTTCCCCGCCTCCGACAACATCCAGACTACGACCTCATCTCCGCCAATCGCGTTAAGATCCTAGGCCAAAAAGCGAACTTAATCCCCAGCTCCTCTGAGATACCGAAGACCAGTGATATTGATACCCCCACGCCTGGGAAGATGGCAACTGCCGGAACAACACGAACAACAACAGCAGCCCCGCGCGCCCCATCCACAAACCAAGCCCTCTTCCTCGAACGCCTCATGAACGCCAAATGCGCCAAAGGCGAGTCAGACGTTGTGCGCACCACATTCTCCCAAAAGCGGAACCAGAACTTCGAGGCCAAGCTGCGCGGCTGGGCGCGCACGGGCGAGCAGATTGCGGAGCTGGAGCTGCTTAATCGACGCGTGTTGCAAGGTGATGTGAACGCGTTGAGGGAGCTGGAGGATATTTATGCGCGTGCGGAGGGCCCAGTGGGAGCGGTGCCGACGCAGGAGCAGGAGCAGGAGCAGGAGCAGATGCGGGAGTCAGATATCTCGACGACAAGGCCGTCGGGGCCCCGTGGGGATGGAGGTTGATGTTGATGCGCCGCAGCAACCAGAAGACAGGCAATCTCCTTCAAATGCCGGCGGTGGATCGGGCGGATGAGCGATCCGATGTCCAATGACGGAGTTCGCGGAAGGAGATTCTCCGTACTCTGTACATTGCACGAAAAGAGACGATGGAATAGGCGAGTATCCTCCGTCGACTGGCCGGGGAGCTTGGCTATTGTGAAACGTTGCTGAAATGCACCGCCACCCTGCCACTGGGCTGGGTGCCCCTGTCGCGACTGTTCACGTTGTAGCGCCAGGCCGGGTGATCCATGCTATGGACCAAACGTACTCGCAAAATGTAATAATACCTCCGTCTACGGAAATTTAACTGTTCATCCCATGGCAATCTGACAGTGCATGTGCAGACAAGTACCCGACATGCGTGCGGAAGGTGATTTACAAGGCCAGGCCTGTCCATCCGCTGTTGCCTATCGTGCCGATGCCAAGGATTTAGGGCAACAAAGGGCATGACATAGGGAGAAAAAAAACCAGGCTCGAACTACCAGATAACTAAACTAGTCCACAACGACATTGTCGAAAAAGGAGAAAAGAAAATACACTTTGAGGGACTGTTTTCGCGCCTATTTAAGTAGGAGAGGGTTTTGGATTAAATGGTGGTAACTATATAATGTATGAAGTTAACAGGACATGCTATCCCTTGAGGAGAAAGGTAGATATATGGCAGAATGCGGGTAGTAGAGTGCGTGAGAGTGATAAGCACACCCCTGACCCTTGCCAACACCCACACCATAGTAGAATAGAAGAGCTGCACTGTAGGAAAAGAAAATGGGGGAAAAAGAGAGAAAAACCTAGGGATAAAAAAAATAATAAAAGTAAAAAAATTCAGGGGAAAAGAGAGAGAGAGAAAATTATCAAATCTTCAAAAGCAAATACGCCCAGTGATATCCTCCCGAGTCCTGTCTATATATATATTTTACCTGTCTATACGTTGCATGTGAACGAATCCCGCAAAGAGAAAAAAAAAAAAAAAGGGGGGGGGGGGGGGGGGGGGAAGAAAAAAAAAAAAAATAAAAAAGGGAAAAAAACAAAAAAAAAAAAAAATGGGGGAAAAAAAAAAAAAAAAAAAAAAAAAAAAAAGGGAAAAAAAAAAAAGAAAAAAAAAAACCAAACCCGCCCCCCTTGTCCCCCCAAAAGCAAATCCGATTTATCAATTCAAGACCTCGACCACCCCACGGGCGACGGAGGCGGCGGAGGCGGATGTTCAACCCCATCGTCCATCAGGTACGGGTACGCGGCGTACTTGGGTTGCTGCGAGGACGAGGCTTGCATGGCGCGGGAGATCTCTTGGATGAAGGTTGATGCGTTTATGCCGTTGATGTTGTTGGTGGTTTTGGTTGTGCTGGTGGTGCCGGTGGTGGTGGTGGTGGTGCCGTCTGTGTCTGTGCCTGTGCCCTTGACGAGGGTGGACTTTGAGGGGATTGGGGAGAGGATATGTTGGTAGGATTGGGACATGGTGGCCGGCATTGTTTTATGTTATGTTATGTTTTTTTTTTTTTTTTTTTTTTTTTTTAATGCTGTTTTCCTCTTCCTTTTTTTCCCCTATTGTTTTTTATATATTTCCCGGGTTGGGGGGAAGAAGAGAGAGGAGGATGCCTTGTTTGGTTCGGGGGTGGAAGTGAACAATTATTGAAAATCGAGTTGTGTTTTGTTTATATGACCTTTGATATTTGCTATTCAACGGGTACTTCTGGCTCTCTCTAATCCGTTCGATGGACGAGATTGTCGTTTATCGTTTACCGTTTGCCGGTGTATTGTTTGTCTGAAGCTCGAGAGGCGGATGATGTGATGTATATGGATATTTGGCTAAGCTGTACGCTATGCTATGCTATACTATGTTGATGGGCGCCGGAATTCCGTTAGCAACGAACTGAAAGAACCAGGAGTGTGTGTATACATATGTATACGGCATAGATAAGTGTGTAGATAGACATATTTCCATGTCCGCGGCTTTTGCACATGATATTTTTTATTTTTTATTTTTTCATGTATTTCCCCACACGTGTCCAGTCCTCGCCAACCCCGGAGCTCCCTTTCCATGCCATTATCTTCTTCATCGTCGTCGATGATGGTCTGCTCCAGATATATCGAGCTGCCTTGGCTCACAGATCGATGGAGCACAAGAGCCGAGGCTCGCCTCGCAACCCGGAGAAGGGAAACTGAATGCGAGAACGAGGGGGTATTAAGGACCAGGGAAAACGAAATTCCTTTACTTACTGTCTATCTCTTCTCGGTTTGGGGGTTGGGTTTGGTTTCCGGTGTTAATATTGTATTTATTGATTAGGGAGGAGAGAAGACGATATATGTTGGTTGTATAGATGGGTTTTTGATAGTCGAGTCAAGTAAAATTGGGAAGCGAGTGTCCGATAGATATTTTCTAAGCTGGACAGTAAGTAGTAAGGTATTGTAGCTTAACGATCGTAAGCAGTACAAGAAGTGAGTAACTATGAGAAGATGTTATAAAAGGAAGAAAAGAATAAAGAATGATATATAAAAGAATGGGGAAAAAAAGAAAAGAAAAAGAAAAAGAAAAAGAAAAAGAAATCAAGAAGAAGCCCAACGCCGGCGGTTGGCTCCATATATAAGAAGAATAAATACCATTTACGCCGGCAAACAGGCCCAGAAAAGGTGATCGCCCAACGATGCAATGCAGCCCAGACCGCAGAAAAAGAAAAGAAAAAAAAGCAACTTAAACAGACGAACACAAAAAACCGGGGTAAAGCCTTCTTTCTTCCTGAGGTCACTTCGCTAGTTAATAATAATAAGTTAAGCGGAGTTGTATTGGGTTTCATCCCCTGTGTAACTAAACACGCTCCTCCGTATATCACTAACCCAATATACTACTACTACTAACTAGCCTTCATCAGGGAAGCTTGGAGGTCGGTTGGCTAGTTATTAGTTACACACATACAAAAAATAAAACAATTTCTGGTATTAGAGTAGTTATCACTCACTCGCCTCAATCAGAGTCAGGGCTGGAACTGCGACTGTGTTCCAAGCTTCCCAGGGCCAGGCACTTCGTTATAACCTCATACACCTCATACAACCTCATACGCCTCATACACCTCCCTCGCAGGCCTTGTTTGTTCAGCTGGAACCTGTAACAATTGAGACCCGAAACCTGAAGTCCTCCTTGCTCTGATCCGTCTCAAGCCTGATTATTGTTGATATCATATCCACTTTCCACCTGTTCCGCAGCCCTGTTCCGTCCCCTGGGAAGCACGTCTAAGGGCGGGCTCACATTATTATTATTTATTTCCTTCAGTTAGTACAGGGTCGTAGCTCTAGTAGTAGTCTAGTCAGGTTGTCGCGCAGTGATTTCGTTAACTAGCTAGCCTGGGGGGCTGCTGAGAATGGGATGGGATGGATGGGATGGATGTGATGGGATGGATGCCTGCTCTGTCTGTCTTGTCCCTTTTCCTTGGATTTTTCTCTCTCTCTTTGTTCTGGCAGCCATGCTTGGATAGTAGTATCCCACCAACCCACCCCCAATATTAAATAGCAATGTGGCCCCAACAGCAGACACCAGACGGCGTTACAGCGTAATACAGATCAAAATGTGATATGACCTGGTATGGCATCATCGTTGTTCAACTCCTGCAGGTTGGAGTTCTGCATGCATACATCCATGCCTTATTATTCGACCATTGGCGGATCGCCAGTTGAGAAAAATAAATGCCAATCGCTAATATCCGGGGAAAGAAAGAAAAGAAAAAAAGAAAAAGGACCACGCGACCGCCCTTTGTCTTTGTTTCTTTTTCCCCTTTTTTAACCAGGGTTTTCCAAGGGTCTGTTTTGGGTAAAAAGTTGATGATGCCCCGGTCTCGCCTCACTACGCAGTACGCAGTAACTACTAATAAATTAATGGATGCCAGCCATGGTTGGTTGTGTTTAAGGGTTGGATGAAGGCGCTTGAAAGGAGGCCCCGTTGACCCGAGACCTTGGTGCCAGCTCATCATCAATCAATAATAAAAAAGAATAATAAATAAATAAAATAACTGAAGCCCACCGTCAAACGCCGACAAGCAAGACCAGACCAAACTATTTAACCAGCTTACCAAACTCACTAGGATGATAGTTAATTGTCAGCGTCGCGCTGCTCGTCAGTCCTCGGTTGTTGCCTTGTTCCTCTTCTCTAGTTACGTGTCTTTTTTTTTTTTTTTCGTTTGGGCCTTTCCTGTGTCTGTCTGTGTCACCGATGACTGGCTTATTTTCTGTGGGAGGAGGGAGGTTTGTTTCCCCGGTTTCCCCATACATACATACCCTGTTCCCAACTGCTTACTCCGTCCTGTGTTTTCTTTCTCTCTTTATTTTATTTTTATTTTTATTTTTCTTCTTTTCTTTTCTTTTTTTCTCCCTTCACCCCCAAAAGGAGGCCCAAGTCCATGCCTATCCGATAGATGGGCCGGGGAACAGCGGAATCAAACAGCCTAACTAACCTGTCAGGCCCATCCTCAGGCGGATCGATTGTATCCTTCCTCCGTTTTCGGAACTCATGACAGATATCCATCCGTCCGCAGTAATTAGTTAGTTGACCTAACTAATATGATAGGCTATATCTGGAGTCGGCCCTTGTTAGCACTCCATTTTATCCCGGAGCTCTGGTTCAAGGCATAATCAGCAAAAAAGAAAAAAAAAAAACAAGGAAAAAAAGAAAAAAAGAAAAGAAAGAAGAAACAAGTCAAAGAGGCCAGGCACAGGAGAACAACCGTTTGTGCCAATTGACTAGAACCAATCAATAATGCCCGGAAGTTCTCTGTAGTGATCACAGTGAGTGGCATCTTCTCCGTCTTGTCTTCTTTCTTCTCCTTTTCCACTTGGGAACGTCTTATAATCACCAAACCAAGCCAAGCAAAGTCTCTCGACCGAGCTGCATACTCACTCGCAGTGCCACCCCAACAAAAATCTCAGCAGAAGCTCGGTAGAATCTCACTTAGGATCAGCGGGCTGCAATTATGTATTTTTCCCATGTGGCTGTTGTGGGGAAGACGGAAGGGCGGACGGAAGACGGGAGGAGAGCTGGCTGAAGTAACAGCAACGGAGTAGTAATCATCCTAAATAGCATGGAGTAAGTTAAGTCAATAATTATTAATATTAATAAAGAAACCTTGCCCCTTGTCAAGCTGCTACCCGACCAACAAGCAGAAAGAGAAAGAAACATAATTAATTAACTTAATATATGTCCTTACTTCCGTGGCTACCTACGGGAACAAATACGCAGTAAAAGGATAAACCTCCCTGTCCAAAATCAAAATAAAATAAAATGTAACCCTGCAATTTCTCTCCAGCTCCAGCTCCAGCTCTCTGGCCCAAGCCGTGGTCAGCAAAGAAAGTCCGGGGAAATAAGAAAATAAAAACCCAAGAAACCCCCAATAATAATAATGCAACCACCGCTGCGTCTCGTCAACCAAGATGCGAACACGCTAAACAGCCGCCGCCCCGCCCCGCTCCCCTACTAGTGCCGCGCGCTAAGCGGGCTTCTAGAAGCTCTGCGGGAAATTGCGCGTTTGAAATCCCCGTTCCAGGATCAGATCCTTCCAAGGTTGCCTCGTGTCTTGTGCCTTGCTTGCGTCTTGAGTTATTTACGATGCGAATTCTGACTATAATAATAATGAAGGAAACCCACCCACCCACCTTCCTTTACGATACCTTTTCCTCACCCCCGTCTGTCTTTTGTCCCGGTTTGTAGCACTTGAGAATATTTCATTATTATACCAAACACCCTGCCCCCCCGCCCCCCCCCCGCCCCCAACAACAACAACAACAACAACAACACACACACAGATGCCGGGGCTCCCTTGTACGACCGTCGGAGGATGCGACGAGATGGGATGGAATATATATAAGATACGACACCAGGGCGGGAATTAGGCTATTAGTCGGATAGGAATGTTGTTATTTTATTTACTCGTCCGTTCATTTATTTGCTTGGGCGGGGTGGAACGGGGACGGGACGGACGGGATGGTTGCTTGCTTTTAAGGGGTGTGGTGGGGTGGGGGATTGATTGGCCATTCGATACATACCATACATATCATATCCCAGGTAAAAACTAACTTAACTATTCATGATTCCTAAAAATGATTCTCATGTGAAACGTTGATTGATGCGCTTGATGCAGGTCGTACAACGGGAAAAAATAATAATAATAATAATAATAATAATTTACATTTGCGCATGTGAAACCATGAGATTTTTTATTATTTTTTATTATTATTTTTATTTTTATTTTTGATATTGGGTTCATATATCGGTTTCATCCGGTCTTGTCTAGATAGGACAAAGGAAGCTATGGCTATGGACCGGGGGAACAGGGAACATTCTGCAGAGCTCCTTGCGGGCGGCCGCTGTTAAGGAATCATGCGATAGCTACACGGTTGGAAGAGACCGAAGAAGTACCTCCTTCTCCCGCTGCAGATACTCCTCAAATCCCGTCAACGGGATCCCAAACTCCTCCTCCGGCGGCTTTGACCCCTTCGCCTTCCAGCGCGCTTCATGCACTTTATCCCCAACCAGACTCGCCCAAAGTTCAAACTCGAGCGCCAGATTCCCCTTTCTCACAGCCTCCTTCTGCTCCTCCGCCGTGCGCTTCGACACCTTCACCTCCCGCCCACTAACCCTGCTCATCTCCGCCGCCACATCCTCCACACTCAACCACCCGCTCGCAAGCGTAATCTCTCTCCCGACAAACCTTTCCGGCTCCAACAGCGCCGCCGCCGCATACTTCCCCACATCCTCTTCATCCACATGCTCAAACCCCGCCCCGCTGTCATAGCTATGCTTCAACAGCCCCTCCACCGGCAGCTCCGGGTACACAAAGGGCGACACCGGCACCAGGTAATTTGACATAATCCACCCCGGGCGCAGGATCGTCCAGCCCCCGCTCAACCCAGAGCTTCGCACCGCGTCCTCTATTCCAGCCTTCGAGCGCGAATAGTGATACCCGATCGCCTCCGCCTCGGGCGTATCCCACAGGTGGCGGTCGCTGGTGTATATCGCCGTGGAGGCGACGACGTATTTCACGCCGGCGTCGTGGCACGCGGCGAGGATGGAGGCTGCGCGCTGTCGTTCGGAGTCGACGATGCTCGCGCTCGGGTTCGTGTTTGCGGGGTCAGAGGTGGAAGTGGCTGAGGGTGTTGGTGGGGAGGCCGGGACGAGGTTTAGGAAGACGCCAGTGCATCCCTCTGCGGCTTTGCGGAAGACGTCTGGCTCGTCTAGGTTGCCTTTGAAGAGCTTGACGCCTGCGCTGGCGAGGTTGCGGGCGGCCTGGGAGGTTGGGTCGCGCACGACGGCGTGCACTGTGGCGCCGGCGGCGAGGAGGTGCTTGGCTGTTAGCCGGGCTTGTTGGCCGGTTGCGAGAGTTAGGAGGTAGGTGGGCATTGTGGGCTATTCGGTAGGTAGTAGTTGTACACTGTCACTGTGGTGAGAGCAGAGGAGGGGTATAAAGCTCTGTGATAGATATGTTATTTTATCCCCATTTGAGTGCGACTCGCCCGCCTCTTTATACCTTCTACCCCTTCCCCGAATATCTAGTGTTCTTGGAACACACATGCAAATCTACTCTCTGGAAAACCACATTGTTTGTCCAAGTGGAGAGCATTCCAAGGTCCATGACATGACGCTCCTCTACCTCCGGGCTCCGAAGGCGAGCTCCCTCCTCGCTGCCGCCTCCGTCCAAAGGCCCCAAGATGCGCTGCATTTCCCAAGTTCGACCACATGAATATCAACTGTTGATTAATAATACGTTATGGAGCGACGTTGATTATGTTGGCCCTTACGGCCGTTGCGGTTAGCGATCCCACTAGATCACGTGACCCACCACTATAATATGTTCCTGTAGATAGATCTATCAATACAACCTTCAACTATTCTACAGGTTATAGCCCGGATGGCATGTTTTTCTTTTTAGAATGTTGTACCAACATTTTTTTAACACAGATAGTTCACCTTTTTTGAAAAGACTCTCACTCTTTATTAGAGATATTTTATTTTCTCTGAATCTGCTGATCAGCAGATTCATATACTTTATATTTTTTTAAGAAAGTGTGTTCTTCATTGTGAAGAATATCACTTTTTATTTTTTTTACATATCTTAATATAAGTGATACACCTGTTACTTCAGAGTTCAGCTCAAGACTCAGAATCACATACTTCACTAGACAACTCATTGATAAAATGATCACTTATTATGAGAAGGCTTCTGACTTGCAAGATGAGACTGAGATCAGTTTTCATCAGAGTATGAAATTTGATAATAAGACAATGAAGAAACTTTAAAATAAAGAAAAGCAGAGTTAATATTCATCTACAGAATCTGTTTATTTTAACTTATTAAATTCTTCACTATTTCTCACTTCTGAAATGCTGACTTTTAACAGTGATTCAAATTAATCTATCTATTATATTACAGACAATCTTATAAATCTTATACAGATAATACTATAGAATTAGATAACTGTAGCTGAAATCACTTAATATCTCACTACATCTGTCTCTATATAAAGAGACACTATAAGAGATGAGTTACAGAAATATCAGAAGAAAGTCAAATATACACTAAATATTAAATCAGTGACTATATTTAATGACTTTAATTATAAAGTCTGATGTATTGATATATTAACTGATATAAAAGTTATTAATAAAACTGATATTCTATTGAGAACTTAATAAGAATTCTCTTTTACATATTATATTAATTCTGAGAAGTGAAGAATTCATTTCAAGTCTCTATATAAATGTATACTATTGAGTCTTATTAAAAATGTTCAAACTACTATTAAAATCTTGAAAGCTGACAATACTACAGCTCTGTGAAATAAGATTAATATTGAATATATAATATCACTGACAGAAGAATGAGTTAATATCTTTAAGAAATTAATAAAATTACAAGTTAAGAAGAATAATTATCTTACTTTTCAGAGATATTTTCACTATCTTATTATCTATTACAAAGAGCTCTGTTAGAGTACTGAGAATATATACTATAATCTTTTTCTCAATAATCTACAAGATTATCAAAGATTATTTATCAAGATATATTTGAATGAGTTTTTCTTCACTGATCAGAGACTTATTATTAATATTAATATTAATAATTTAATAAAGTAACTAATCAATTGTACATTTAAGAAGATTATTACTGAGTAGAAAAAGCAGTCTCAGACTAATTCTGTAACTGTGAAAAAGAATAAGAATAAAGATGAGAATAAAAGCATATCTGTATGAAAGTACACTCACTGTAGAAGATATAAATATACTGTTAATAGATATTTCATCTTACACTCTGATAAAAAGAAAAAGAAGAATGATAAGAAGAATGATAAGAAGAAAGAGAAGAAGAATAACTTAATAAGTTCTCAATCAGCAGTAAATGCAGTAATTACAAAGATTAAGTTCTATTTCTCTTTCACAGTCACTGAAAAATCATTCTCTAGATCTTGATATTTGAATACATGTGTAAGTCTGAATATAACAGATAAGCTTTATTCTTTCTCAAATATTAAATCTTTTAATGATAACATCTCTGTTGATTCTGTGATTGAAGAAACTGAGTTTGTTAAGAAAATTGAGACTATCATCTTGAAGATTGAGAATGATGATATTAACTTGCAGAATATTTACTATATTTCTAATATTACAGTTAATCTGCTCTCATTTATAAAGCTTGAAGATCAGGGATTCTGATTTACATTATCTTTCATCATTTTCTCATTTTTTATTTACAGAGCTCTGAACAGCATTATTTTTCATGCAGTTTGAATCACTCAGAACAATATATATAAGATTGATAAGCAGAAGTTCAATGAGAATCTCAATCATTTGAACAGAGCAGTTAAGTATATTGTGATAATATCTCATAAGTATGATTTTAACTGAAAAGTTAATCTTTCTGTGACTACTGCTACTACTGTTAATAATATTAATTCTACAGTTCTGAATACAGGTCTCAAGAATACAAGAATATCAAAGACTCTTTTAAACTGACACTGTAATCTCAGTTATATTCACACTGATACTATAATTACTATGATCAAGAATCTTCATACTGAAGTCACAATTAAAGATTCTAAGACTAAGTTCTTTTATAAGAAATATGTTAAGACAGGTATAATATAAGATTATTTGAAAACACTGATATCTAGATCTATCTGACTCATTGAGAAGATTCATATTAATCTTGTAGATAATAAATATATATTGAAAGATCTCTCTAATCACTTCTTAGAGTCTTATCAGAGAATTAAATACTGAATACTTATTATCTGTGATGTGACTCACTACTATTGAGTATATTTTTTAAAGTTCAAGAATGAGACTGTTCAATACTTTGAGTTGTGACTCAGATTCATAAGTAATCTTAGATATACAGTTTCTGCTTTTCTACAGACTGATATTAATAGTGTTTTCTAATTCATATATATACACACAGTTATAAATTTATATAATATCAAATGAGAATTAACAGTATCATATTCATCACATCAGAATAATGTTTCTGAATATGAAATTCACACTATTATAAAACAGATTAGAGCTGCTCTTTTAAAAGATAATCTCTCTAAGAAGTTCTGAACAGATGTTCTAGAGATAGTAATTATAATAACTAATAATACTCTCATATCTACAGTTCTTTACAACTCAAAATTTTAATCCTCTACTATAGAAACTTCTGTAGTTTCAAGTTCATATAAGATTTCTTAATATACACTTATGAATATTCTATCAAATATGAGACATTTTCACTGATTGAGTGCAGAGGTTTTTATTCATTTGTATGAATCTCAGTGACCTGTGAATAAGCTTTTTTCATATACTGATTTCTATTGTATTATTGAATTCAGTGACATATTAATATATTGTCTATAACATTCTGAATCTGATAAGATTATTGTCAGTAGTAATATAAAGTTCTCAATCACTGAAAAATTGAAACTGATTATTACATCTGTGACACTTACTAATAATACTAATATACTGAAACCTGATATTCATCTGATTGATGATGATGAAGATGCTCTCAATATTAATAATTTGAATTTCACATAATTGCAGCTCATGAAATTGCTGACTACTTACACTTTAAGTCTTATTACAGATAATCTTCTGAAGTTCTACAAGAATGTCACATCTCAGTTAGAAAGAGTAGAAGATTATTAAAAGAAGTTCATATAACATAAGATTACTGATCTGAAGAGATATAATATATGAAGTTTAATCTCTAGATCTGATATCTTAAGAAATAAACTGATTACTCTGAGCTGTTAAGTATTTCTTGAGAAAGATAGATCTGTAGACCTGAATACTAATTCTGATAGTATTCTTAAAAAATCATATTGAGTAATTTATAATAACTGATTTAAGAAGAGTTTTAGAGAAGAGATCTATGCTTCTATTATTACTAATACTGCTAATTATATTCTTTTTACAATAACAGTACTACACAGTTGAACACTTTATTAAGTGAATATAGTGATAATATATCTGTATAAGCATCTCACTAAGAAGGTCTATATAAGATAACTCACTGAATTTAAGACAGGTTCACTGAAAACACTTATCTGTATAATTGAGAATAGTCTATACAGTCTGAACTCTGCAGTGAAGATCTGATATAATTACTTAATAGCTCTATTAAGTAATCTTGAATTTACAGTCAGTGTTCATAATTCAGTACTCTGATATTATATATTCAGATATCATCTCTATATAACAATCTATATTAATGATCTCAATATCATATCTGAAGTTTCTGAGAATGCTGATTAACTAGTGAGTATGCTCAGTGAGAAATTGAAAGTCAAGAATCTATATCAGTTAATTAAGTATTTAAGTATAAAGATTAATTATTCAGACAAGAGAATTGATTTAATATATAGTTAATATATTAAATATCTTGTTAAAGATTTCTATCTTGATAATACAGCTGTTATCAGAACATTAATAAAGAATGAATTTTATATTAATAATTCTTCTATATCTGAGAAAGAGACTGATTTCATAATTCAGTGATATCAATATAATATGAGTTGCTTGCAATATCTTGCAGTTAAAACATGTTCTGATATCACTTATACTATCTTACTACTCACTTAATGAAATATTGATTTAACATCTCAATATTGAAAGACTCTATTACACATTATACATTATTTAAAAGAGATCATAAATCTGAGTATTTTCTATAGATATGATCTGTATAAGAGGTCTGTTTCTATCAATCTTTTCATTTCTACTGATCTTTTCATTATCTCTGATTTCCCTGATGATTTCTATCTACTCTTCAGCTACTCAGATTCTGATTGAGCTGACTTCTTGAATAATGATAGAAAATTAATATTCAGCTATGTTTTTAAGCTTACAGATGACCTGATTTCATGATATTCAGTAAAACAATCTTGTATATCTCTGAGTTTCAATGAGACTGAATATATGGCTCTTAGTGAGATAATCTATGAGATAACATGAATTCAGAATCTTATAATTAAGCTTGACTTTATTACTACATCTTTAATACAGATTCTTATCAATAATAAGAGTATCATAGATCTCACAAAGATGGCAGTCATTACAGTCTGAAGTAAGCACATTGATATGTGTTTTCATTTTTCATATTAACAGTTGAATCAGAGAGTTATTGATTTAGAATATATTCTCACTACTCAGATAACAGTGAATGAACTCATTAAAT